GGGCCATGTTGCTTTTAACTGCTTACGTGTGCAGCTACAAATCGCAGCTCTCTGTTGCTGGCTCCGACAGGTAGGAAGGGCACTTAAGTCCTTGGGGGCAGGTGCAGGCAGTGGCAGGTGAAACAGCACACGCCGCAACTTTCGTAATTTCAACAATGTGTTGCACATGTTGCACAAGTGCACGTGACTGCCGCACAAGACAGCGACGGGCGCTAAGACATATGCTTGTCCATTTTTTATTGCCATAACCAAAAATATTAATTCGGAATGTAGCACATTCGTTAATTTTCCGACTTTTGCCTTAATGACTTGTCGCACTTGACGCTTGTCTTTTCCTGGTACTGTTCGCTGCAGCTGCGGCATCTGCCCCGAAATGCCGCAATGTGTGTCTGCATGTGCCTCTTGCAAATTACATTACAGTCAAAGTGTTGCAGCAACACTCTCCCGAAACTCTGTGGCAAGTATGCCGCGGGCGCTGAGGCAGCGTCAGCCTGACAAGTGTCGCCGTCAAATATTTTAGCAGTTTTACATGCAGAGACGCTCCGAGCGAGTCAGACAGCAGCTGGCTTTAAGCTCAGGCACGGCGAGAGGATGTGGGTTATTTCTTGAGGACATTTAACTTTAAATGTTTGTTTTTATAAAAAGAGTCTTCGTGTGGAGTGCCCTACAAAACATATCATCCTAATTGCAAGCATAATAATATATCGTTTAAAAGATAGTGCTCAATTTAAAATATCCCCCAGGCGACACTTATGCTTAGCTCCCGGGTGAAGCGCTTTAACCCCTCTTCTAGTTGTCAGCCAAAACCCTAGAAGTGTCGCAATTGGACCGAAGATATTGCCAACTTATAATAAATCCCCGTTTTGGCTTCAGGGTAAAATGTGGCGCGGATTAGCGATAGGCAAAGAAGATTGAAAACATTTAATGACTTGCCCTTAGCGCTAATGCGGCAAGTTAAACAGAAACATTAAAATTATGGCTGGAAGTTGGGACAGCAGCTGGCAATGTGCACATATGAATGCGATTAATTTATAAGCTGTCCCCACACACACACACAATTTAAGGGCTGGCAGGTCCTTGAAACCGCGCATCCTTATGAAAGTGCTTGATGCTTAACTGCTGACTAACGCCTTTGGGGAATCACATCAGTTTAGCTGAGCTGAACTGAGCTCCATTTATTTGCGCGTATTCTTTGCTGCAATTCTATAAAGCTTCTGTAGCACTTCGTCAGCAGTCGCCCGGACACTTTGGCCAAATGCAGTTACCCTGTCACAGCAGCAGCCGGACAGCTTTGACAGCGGCGGACGGAAGTGAGCCGGCGGCGAATGCAGCAACTGTCGTGACAGAATTTCAATATCAAATTGTTGCCAATGAAAAGTTGTGCACTTAATGATGTTGCCCCTAATGCCGCTGATTGCGGCGCTGTTGACGGTTGTCGTCGGTCCTCATAAAAACGCGCTCAAATGCTGTTAGCTGATGGAACCGGATGTCGTCCATCAGCAGCGCCGTCGGGAATAAGCGTTCGCCATGCAAAACTTATTGCAATTTGATGGAAATGTTTGCCTCATTGGCCGCGAGCTGAATGTCACATAAAGCGATTATACGTGGGTTTGGCGCAAAGCTTCAGCAGTTCTCTGAAATCATATAGTCAATATCCAATTACTTTCAACACAAAAAAAAAAAAAGAACAGCTCAACATTGCATAATTGAATATTGTGCGAACTGCGCAGTTGCCGATTTTTTTCACTCGCAAATTTCCTGCCTTTCTTTTTAATATGCACAATATTAACGAAACACGCGCAAAATGCAATAAAAAATGCAATTAAATTAGCCGCAAGGCAACAGGCCAAACAACAAAAACTGGGAAAAAAGAAGAAAATCAACCCAGACCTGAAACCCATCAACCAAAAACTGTTGAGGCAAATTGAATAAAGGTGAGGGCGTGGCCAGGGCTGAAACTTAACTGAAACGCAAAGTCGGTAATAATTGAAAATAAAATTTAAATTCCTTCCAAACAGAAGCTCGCAGGCCGTTAAGATTGCGAATCGGCGGCGTTCATTTATGCAAATTGAATTTCGAAAAGGTTATGGAATCAATCAAATCGCATCAAATGTGGGCGTGACAAGCAACAGCAGCAACAACAACAATTAGAAGAACAACAACAAAAACAAACAAGGCTCAAATTGATTTTAATGACTTCTGGGCGTGCGTCGAGGCGTGTTAATTGCTTTTGCCAAAATAATGTGAGTGTATCTGACGGCCAAAGAAGGGTGTCCATCAGCCTGGTTGCAAACAAAACAATTGGAATTAGTTTCTTGTCGATGAACAGGCTCTTACGGAGCTGCCCACAAGCTGATAATAGATTAAGGATCAGCATCAGCTCATTTTGGCTTTAGAATTCATTATTCCAGGCATTGAAACGTGTGATGGCTGCTTTCGACCGCTTCCAAATGACTTTTACGGCTGACAGAGAACTAACAATTAAAGAGCAACTGGGGCTGGAGGACGACAAACGTCAAACGACAAACTAATCATATCTGGCTGAAACTTGCATAAGCTTTGAAACTTGGGGCAGACACAGACCCCGGCACAAGTGGGGCCCCTTGCCTCGGGCTCCAGCCAGCGGTGCTCTTATGCAAATGCGCAAATCTTAAGCCAAGTTCAAGATACAAAAACTTTGCGAGCAAATAAACAAAAGTCGGTTTGGCAGCAACAGCAGCAGCGGCAGCCCCTGCACCAGACCAAAAGTTTTTTCCTTGCTTTGGCATCAAATTGAAATGCAAATTCAACTAAGGTACGAGCAAAACTAACGAAATCAGCAAAATGACGAAGGAGGTCCATATTTGCATACACAGAGATATATGTATGCATGTAGATGTGTTGCTGGTGCCCAGCCCAGCCCAGACCACCCCGCCCCACCCCAGTCTAGTGGGAGCTGGCCAGCAGGGTTGACTGCTCCATCAACAGCTGCGCTTGCTGATACAATGAAGTAAGCTCTTGTAGTTACCGCAGGCTGCTTTTTGTCATTCTGTCTGACATATTGCGAGCTCAGCAGCCGCAAAGAACAAAAGGTTCTCAGTTCTCTTAGCTGGGATTACTTACTGCCATCGCTGTGTGCCACGCCCTCGCGCAACAGAAAGTAACGCAGACCCTCCATGGTATACTGTTGGGCTGCCTGCACGGGATCAACAACATTGTGCTTGCTTTTGGACATCTTCTGACCATCCACTGTCCAGTGCGAGTGCACGTGCAGCTGTTGCGGCGGCGCCAGGCCAGCGGCCAGCAAAAAGGCGGGCCAATAAATGCCGTGGAATTTAAGTATGTCCTTGCCAATGATTTGCTGTGCAGGCGGCCAATCGGCCTGATACTACAAAGGCACACAAAGATCAAGTGGAAGAGAGAAGATTAACTTTAAGGGTGACTGCAAACTGGTGGCCTTCCGTTGCATACCTGTTCATTGGGATAGCCAAGGGAGCTGAGATAGTTAATCAGAGCATCTAGCCAGACGTAGACCGTTTGGGTGTCATCATTTGGTACGGGTATGGCCCAATGCACTCGGTTAGCGGGCCGGGAAACGGACACGTCGGGCAGCGGCTCGCTCAGCGTATCGAGCAGAATCTTTTGAAACTTGGCTGGGCGTATGCTTGCCTCCTGCTTAACCCAATGACGCACATCGTCTTGGAATTGGGTCAAGCGAAACATGTAATTCGTTTCCTCGGTCCACTCCACTGGATGACCCGATTCCAATGAGTAGCGTGTGCCACTGGTCGCGTCAAGGCGCAGCTGTGACTCAGTCAGAAAGGTTTCATCCGATACGCAGTACCAGCCGCTGTAGGCCGCCGAATAGATATGGCCCCGCGACTGTAATCTGTGCTGTGGAGGTTATAAGCTGATCAGTGGACCTAATGCAATCAATGGGCAGCCTTGTTAACTAACACAGAAATGTGCCACGGCCTGTTTGTGTCGCTGCTCGGTGGTGCGTATGAAATCATCGTGTTCTATCCCCGCCGCCCTAAACACATCACGATAACGCGCCGACACCTCATCGCAGTACTGGCCCACGGGCACCTTGTGCGCAGCTGCCGCCTGTTGAATCTTTGTGCCGTGCTCATCCGTGCCTGTGCAGAGACGTACCTTGCGGTCCGGATATCGCAGTCGCTGGTATCGGCAATGCGCATCAGCTATAACCGCCGAGTAGAGATGCCCAATGTGTGGAGCTGAGCAAAAGAATTCTCATCAATTCCAATCGGACTGTTATTTAATACACAAGCCTTTTCTGCCCACCTGCATTAACGTAGAATATTGGTGTTGTCACATAGTGCGAGCTGCTGCAGCGCGCTCCAAGCGTTTGTATGTACTTTACTTTACTAACTAACATTTTAAAGGAACTTTTCTCATATAATTGCGCGCACTTTAAATGTAAATAAAAAAAACAATTTGCCGGCTGCTTTTATAATTCGCAGCTGTTACAACAGTGCTGCCCATTGCTGGCTTAATCAGCTGTTATGTGCCGCCAACTTATGGGCAGCACTGCCACACATGAGCCCAAAATAACGTAAGCGTATGTTTCCTATTTACGCCAGTGTGCAACAAAAATACAATTAACTTAATTTTCTTATGTATTTAATTACAACGCGTACAATTGGACGCAGCACACCAAGCAACTCGTTTCGGTTTAACTGACAATACGAGGCAGGCAAATGTTAACTTACAGTTACTGCTATGCTCGCTGTTAATATTTCCCCATTTGATCAATTGTGCACAAACCCTAGATGGGAAATGTTAGGCAAAATGTAAAATATTAACGGAAATTCAAAGCTCACGATTTCACCATTCCTAACCTCTGTCCTTCATAATTACATAAAATTAAAAACAGTCGCAATGAAAATGAAATGAAAATATAATTATAAATCAGAAGAAAGTGTGATTAATAATCAAAACTGTAACCATGATCGAACCAATAAATAACATAACAAAAATATAAAAAAAAAAAACAATTCAATAGATCTACTTTTTGGCTGCACAAGCGTATTTCGAAGATTTCTTGGCGTGGTGCCATCGACCGATCATTCGACGCGTTCTGGAGGCCTTCTGCTTGGCCTCGACTGCTGCACAGGCGGCCTTGTAGGCGGCTTTCTTGGTCTTCTCAAAGTCCTGCTTGGCCTCCGTAAGCTGACGATATAGACTCTCCACCCGATTCTTGGCCGCTTCCAGGAGCTGGGTTTTCTCGGCCAGCTCCTGCTGTGCACCATTTGCCACGTTCTCAATGTTGACCAGATTCGCCGTGACAGCGGCCACCAGACGCTTCAGCTGGCCGAGCTGCGCCTGCGATTCCGCTGCCACTTGTGCAGCCGTATTGGCATTGGCCTGTGTGCTCTGCAGGGATGCGGTAATGTCTGCGACGACGGCATCCGCTTCGTTCACTTCCTGATTCAGTTGCTCCACAATTTGCTGTTTGCCCGCGAGCGCTGCCTCTGCGGCACGAGCGGACTGCGCCGCCCGCTCGGCCAGCTCCTGCTTGACCTGGGTGGCAGCTGCCTCTGCGGCGGCCATTTGTGCATCACTGGCAGCCCTCGCCTCCTGCGCCGCCTTCTGTGCAATGTTCGATGCCTTGGTCTTGGGATCGCTTCTCGACAGCATAGTGCTTCCTTGCGATTGTGAGCAGTCCGCTTCGGGGCATCCCGCACTCGAATCCTCGTACAAGCTGGATTTGTCTGCTCCTCTCTCGCCGGATTCGACATAGTTAAGGCTATCCAACCTTCTGATTGCCTGCAGCAATATGAGCAACAGGAGCAACACTTTCCGATGAAGCATATTCCAAGCAATTCAGCTTTGACTCCGTTCAAACACATTTGGACACTCAACGCAACATTGACTATGTTTTCATATTTATTTATTTATTTACGTGATTAATTATTATAAAGAAACAAATAATATAATAACTAAAGGGAGGCAGTGCTAGCTTCGACTCTATGTTTTCATACAATTTGCGTAAATGAGGGCAGGGAAAGGTCACACTTGGGTTAATATATTCCTGATCAACATCGGAGCTTACTCTGGAAAAATATATGTTACACTGACCTTAGCGATAGCTAAAAATCTATTTTATTCCATAGAAGCCATAGAATTGCTTCTTCCAATAGGATTATAGTATACAGACCATAATCCAGTATATAATCCAGTACAAAATCCATATGTTTGGAAGCTTAGTTATTATACACAGCTCTAGATTAAAAAATTCCTTCGAAAAGTGTGAGAATTCGTAAATCGTATGCTTTGTTGTTTTTCATCAGATCGAGTTGAAAATCTTTTCTAGTAATCAAATTATGTTTATATTGTACATGAGTACCTGTTGCCGGCCTATAATATTTATGTTGTGCGAAAATATCTAGTATAAAACCAGTTTTGACTTCGCTTGGAGCTGATCAACTGCCAAGCCGAATCCTACATCAGCTGCCTGCCAGTTGCTGTCCTGGTTAATCCCTTCCGACTGGCTCCTGCAGCTAGTATCTATTGTTAGCTTTCGATCCAAATCAACCTCCCGACGTTGCGACTTAATAGGCACCCAAGCTAGCTTTAATTAGGTTTTACAGCGAGTTTACCTGTATAAAATAAACATATGAGCGTGCATCTTTATTGTCGTATATAATCAAAGAGGACCCTCCTGTGCGGGTCCAGCGGTTCGCCGTCGACTCCTTTGCGCCTTCTGCTTGGCCTCGACCGCCGAGCAGGCTGCCTTGTAGGCGGCCTTTTTGGTCTTCTCGAAGTCCTGCTTGGCCATGGCTAGCTGGCGGGACAGGCTCTCCACGCGATTCTTGGCCGCTTCCAGCAGCTGCGTCTTCTCGGCCAGCTCCTGCTGTGCGCCATTCGAGACGTTCTCGATGTTGGCCAGATTCGCGATGGACGCCTGCACCAGTTGCTTGAGCTTGCCGAGCTGGGTCTTCGCTTCGTTGGCCGCATCATTGGCCGCCACTGCGTTCGCCTGTGTATTCTGTAAGGAGTTACTTACATCCTGAACGACAGCCTCCGCCTCGCGGTGCTCCCCATCCAATTGCTCCATGATTTGCTGTTTTCCCGCCAGAGCTGCCTCTGCCGCACGCGCAGACTGGAGCGCCTTCTCCGCCAGCTGAATTTTGACTTGCGATGCGGCCGCTTCCGCGGCTGCCATTTGTGCATCATTCGCCGCCTTCGCCTCCTGCGCCGCCTTCTGTGCAATGTTCGAGGCTTTGGTCTTGGGATCGCTGCCGCCTAGCGTTGACCCGCCTCCACCGCCACAGCCCTGCTTGGGCTCACAGCCCTCCATGCCGCCGCCGCCGCCGCCGCCTTCTCTTCGGCCAGCTTCCTCGTCCAGCCGCACCACTTCTGGATAGACAACGAGGTGACGTTTGGGGAGAGCTCTACTGACCTTCTCGCGCGGCCTCATGATATAGCTCTGGGATATACAGCCGCAGTTAAGAAGCAGAAATATGGATATATAGAGCATTGTGCCGGCCGTTCTGAATACATTGTTTCAATATGTAAATGTCAAGCGGTCTGAAAGTTAAAACTTTTTTAGAATAGGAATATAATTTCAAATCATAAGCAACCTATTGAGCGGAAGTGATATTGGTAGCCTTTATCCAGATCCTCACCCATCTCCTTTTATCTCTCTCCCTCATGGGGCCAACTGGCTTTTGGGCAGCTCTTGAGCTCTCTAGACTAGTTCGTAGGAAATACTCTGACTGTCATAATCTACATAAAAAATATAAATATATATATTCATGTTGAATGTAATAAATGCATAATTAACATCAGTATAAACAAAACAATCCAATTAAGTTGTTGTTGCCACAGACTTCAGTAGGGGCTCATGCGTCGACTCCTTTGGGCCTTCTGCTTGGCCTCGACTGCGGCGCAGGCTGCTTTGTAGGCGGCCTTCTTGGTCTTGTCGAAGTCCTGTCTGGCCGCCAGCAGCTGGTTGCCCAGGTTGACGACGCGATTCTTGGCCGCTTCCAGCAGCTGCGTCTTCTCGGCCAGCTCCTGTTGCGCACCCATCGAGACGTTCTCAATGTTGGCCAGATTCGTGGTGGCCGCCTGCACCAGCCGCTTGAGGGCGGCCAGTTGGTTGCGCGCCTCGCCGGCGGCGTCGCTGGCGGCAGCTGCATTCGTCTGGGTATTGTGCAGCGAGTTGTTCACCTCCTGGACGACAGCCTCCGCCTCGTGGTGCTCCATCTCCAGCTGCTCAACGATCTGCTGCTTGCCAGCCAGAGCTGCCTCGGCCGCACGTGCTGATTGGAGCGCCTTCTCGGCGAGCTCCACTTTCACCTGCGACGCAGCAGCATCCGCAGCTGCCATTTGTGCGTCATTCGCCGCCTTCGCCTCCTGCGCCGCTTTCTGTGCAATGTTTGAGGCTTTGGCTTTGGGATCGGTATTGCTTAGCGGATTGTTGCAACTGTGGCTTCTGTTGTCCTCACAGCCTTGTCCCTCTCCACCGCCTTCTTTCTTGACGCCTTCCTCGTCCAGCCGCGCCAGATCTGGATAGATATCGAGGTTGCGTTTGCTGTAAACCTGACATTCGACGTTTTATTCAAGCGTGATGAAGTCAAGGCTCTGTACTGACCTTCTCGCGCGGCCGGATGATATAGCTCTGGGATATGCAACCAATATTGAGGAGCAGAAATATGGAAATATAGAGCATTGTGCTGTCCTTTCCGAATTCATTGTTATAATCCGCAACTGTCAAGCGCTTTTCTAAAAGGTTATAAGTCTGAAAGCTAAAACTTTGTTGTGAATACGGAAAATGAAACTATACTTTCAAATCATGTGGTTCATCATATTGTCGTCTGTTACACAAATAGCATTCGCCCGGGACTACTCATCCCGCAGGGATCTGCGGAGAGCGGCGCGACACACGCGCTCCAAGCGCCTGCTGTCCCATGACAGCAAAGTCGCCGACGACAGAGAACATTATCAGGAGGGTGGGGAGAGGAGCGAGACCAGTTGTGGCGCGCCGCGGCCCAAGAGCAAAAGGGTTAACTCCAAATCCCACGGCACCGGCATCGCAATAAAAGCGGCCTTGGAGGCGAAGCAGGCCAATGACGAAATGGCAACTGCGGTGAAGGTGGCATCCGATCGAATCAAGCACGAGTATGCGGACAAGGCGGCGGCAGCTGCCAAGGCGGCGGAGGCAGTGCTGGCCGGGAAGCAGCAGGTGCTCGAGCAGCTGGAGATGGAGGTGCGCGAGGCTGAGATCATTGTGCAAGAGGAGACGCAAGAGCTGAGCTCAGCGGAGGCCAACAGCCAGCTGGCACTCAAAGCACATCGACAGGCCCAGGAGGAGATGAAGCTGCTCGTCGCCGCCCTAAAGCTGTCCAGAGAGAACCTCGAAAGCGCCGAGCAGGTCTCCGCGGCCTGCCAGCAGTCCCTGATAGATAAGACCAGCCTTCTGGATGCCGCCCAGAAACGCGTTGGCGTCCTGCTCCGCCAGCTGAGCGAAGCCCGCAACGACTTCGCCATGACCAAGAAGGCTGCCTACAGGGCATTGTGTGCGTCCAACGAGGCCAAGCAACGGGTTGATCGCGTCCCAGGCTGTTCTAAGTAGAGAATAGTGTATCAACATGTTTTTATTTCCTTAATCCACATTCATTTACATATATATAAATATATTTTTTACTAATCGATACTTAAATAAGAATCAATTTCAACGTTTGCACTGAAAAGGGTAACAGGTACAAACGACAATTTGTGCTTGTTTGCCATCTTCCTTTAAGTACTTACCATAAAGATATAAAGCCCGTATACAAAGCCTTTTGATTTATGTACGTTTTTCTTCGAGTTGTGACACTCTGGAGGCCAAACAAATGTATTTTTGATTTTTATGAGCAATTAAAAAGTCTCCAAAAATTAATGGGAAGCGGCGCAGTTTTAAGTTGCATCATTTTTATATACGTGTATAATAACCCATTATTTAAAGCAACCAGTCAAATTTTTTGGTTATATAAAGCTCATTTAATTGAAGTCTGTCATAACACAAAAACATGATTTTGCAAAAAATGCCTTTTAAAATATTCAAATCAGTATCACTGCAGGAAAATAAACTCTTGTTATCCTCTCGTGATGATAAAACTTATTATGTTAAATAACGAATAATTGTGCATCATTATCTTAAAAATTTCAACAGTCGTCAAGTAAATAAGCGATATTGACTCTTGATCTGTTCTAAATGGTCAACAAATGGATAATAAAAAATAACTATGCAATTGAAATAAGAAACCTACGTACTTTCCTAAACAATGTATTTTTAAATATGCATGTAAAATTTGAACCCAATCGGTCGAAAATTGCGATTTAAATTTTAAGTTGTAAGGGACGCGTGCACTTTAAAAATAAACTATTTTATTTATTTGTTTCATATCGCCCATAATCCTTCAATGTTGTTTCCAAAATCCTAAAAGAACTTTTAAAGCAACATAGAAATGGGATACTTACAAATCCCAGTGTAAGCTCCTTGAATCCGGTCGATATCTTTGGACATATTCACCTCATTGGTTAGAAAGGGGATGTGCAAAATGAGTCAAGAATTAAATGTATCTGCAAACACATTTAAATACTTAGAACACAATTTTATGAGTCTTTCCCCATGCTCGGAAAATAAATTATAGTTGATTGTTACGCCCTTGCCCCATAATCATAATCGGGTTGTTTATAAAGAATGAAAACCACATTGATTAAAATAATTTATTCTGTAGTTTATTAACCTTTTTTCTTTAGGGAATAAAAATATAAAATTCCTTGACGTCGGGCAAAAAGTGCCCGCGTCTGAATGGCTGCCAAAAATGCTGTGGAACTTTGCCTGTACATTCGTATGCTTTTTAGCTTTCGTCTGATTCCGAATCGAACTATGTAAGTTTTATAGATAATGGCTGATTGCTCAGACCAATTTTGACAAAAATACAAATACAATACGAGCTAACTGTAGGCTTAACTGAATCATTCATATTATAACTAATAGAATACAAGGGAGCTGCTTAATAAATAAGGATTACTTTTAAAAGCCGGCAATAAGAGGCTGACATTACGCATTTAAAAAAAATATTAAACAATTGTACACATTTAAACTAATCATAAATTTAGAACACAATATTGTTTTTAGCGATTACAAACGAATTTTACAATTTACATGGACACATTTCAAAGCATTACAATTTAATAAGAATTACATAAATCAAATGCACGAATACGTGCGTAATTAAAATTATAAATATGCATTTGCATTTGTATTTGTATTTGTTTTTTGCTTTTTTTTTTACAATTAAATTGGTGTTGTCTGTTCACAAAATAATTTCAAAGGTGATGCTTAGTTACTTGTTGGTTACCCAATACTTACATACATATGTATGTGTGTGTTGTGTGTGTGTGTGTGTGTGTGTGTGTGTGGCTTTGTGTGGGTGTATGCATGTTTAAATATATGTATTAGGTTAGGCCAGTGGATTATTAGTATCTGTAATAGTTAGTTAGTTCAATTGCAACAAACGTAAATACTCAATTTGCATGTGTGCATAATTCTACATAAAATAGTTTCATCTGTTTTTTTTTTTGTTTTATGTTTTTAGTTTTTTTTTCTTTTTCTATATACTTAGAGATTTGTTACGTCTTATGCATATTTTTTTAAATTACCTAACACTTTTTTATTTTTATATTTACAATCTAACACAAGCCCCTGTATATAATCATTAAATGGTTGCCCAGCGATCTGGACCTAAACGGGTTGATAAACCGACCAAGCCGCTAACGCTATTAGTTACAATACACATATATATATATATATCTTGATCTTGATCTTGATCTTGTGATTTGCAACATACTCATGCCCAGGTTAATTATGTTAATATATATATATAGAATCTTTCAAGCCTTAATATACTGAATTTCATATATGGTAGCTAATACATATGTATACATATTTAATGCATAATTTAAACATATTTCATATACAGTTAAACCATCTTCGCTGAATACTGAAATCATCGAGTTTTCCCATGTTTATGTATGTGTGTATGTCTGTGTGTAGGTGTGTATATGTGTGTGCGAGTGTATATATATTTTTTTTTAGATACACGTTTATAGTTATATATCGTACATTTTATATATATCAATGGGTTTGCCATATATGGGAAGCCTATATGAGCACGTTGCATAATATTGTAATGAATGTAAATATATATTAGTTGTATAAATATATACGAATATGTATAGGATATATATGTATATATATATACATATATATATATATATATGATGTAATATCAACGTTTTAACTCTTACATTTACAACTGTTGTATCTAGCGTCTACTTAAAATGTATGCTATCCAAATGAAAATGTATCACGATTGACCAAATATTAGATCGAATTAACCGTTAACTACACATGTTTCCTTTTTGCTGTATATTCCTTCGATGAGTATGTTTCGGACGAGCGCACTGCGCCATCCAATTGGTTGGATTATATTGGGTAACGCCTAGTTTAAGTACTTGCGGCAACGCTTTGAGCCGCACGAGCAGGGTATTTTTTCATCCTCGAACGGGAACTTGTAGTCGTAGGTCAGCTCCTCGCCCTGCACGATGCGCCGCAGGGCAAAGATGATGATGTGCTTGTGGCCAAGTATGTCGACGACCTTGGAGTAGCAATTCGGCTGTGAAAGACGAAGCAATTAAAAATAAGATTAGCTGGCAATTCACAGCTGTATCCGAGTCTCTTCTACTTACCTCACAGGAGTGATTGATAAAGCGCGCCGCATTGCCACGCATTGTGGCATCCACAACGAGATTGTCGTCGATCTTGAACATGTAGCAGCCAATGCCACGGCTGTCGTAATACCGTTCCCGCTTGTCGGTCAGCGTAGAGCGTATCAGTTCTCCGGCGTACTCGATAACCATTTCACCTGTGCGATTTGAAATTCAATAATAATTATTTATACAAATTTAATAATAATTATGTGCATCACATACCTGCTTCAATGTCCTTGGTGCAGTAGAGACCGCGTCCATGGATGTGCGAGCGGAAAACGCCCACGTAATCCTTGTAGGTCTCCTTCAGCGTACGGTACTTCATGGCCATGGGCAAATTGCTGCCAGTTCCGCGTCTGCAAAAGAGTCGCGTCAATTAGTATGGCTAGCGAAGTGGTCAGAGGAATCTGGGACCTACCTGGGCACCAGCTCGTTATCGGAGGGCTGCACAAACACCTGTATGGGCTGCTTTCGATGTCTGGACGCCAACCAGCTGAACATATCGTATTCGGATCGACTGGCGTATGGCTCGCAGCGTGCGCACTCATATGCATTCTCCTGCAGCTCTTCCTGATCTGAGCCGTAGTCTATGAGCGCCTGCACATCAACCCCAGCGCCAAGTGCTGCCGCATTGTTGCCACCAGCGCTGGCCGCATGTCCGCCCACGGCAGCTGTGGACACATTTCCGTTGCGTTTATGATATTTGGGCGTATACTTGACGCACTTCTCCACGCCAGGCAGCTGCTCGATCAGATACTTGAGCGCGTTCGTCTTGAGGCCAATCATTTGCACACCGCTCATATCGGCCAGCGGACCTTCGGGCAGGGGCGTAAGACCATGAGCGCGACGCGCCACCTGCACAGCCTCGAACACCTTTTCCCAGATCTCGGCAATGGAACTGGACTTGTAGGTGAAACCATCTTCGCTTTGTATTTCGTACAGCAGATGTGGCCCGCTTATCTTCTTGGGGTCGCGCATTGGTGGCGGCTGCTGTGGAGCAGCTGCGGTTGGCACTACATTAGGTGGCACGGTATCCGGCTGCTGCTGTGGTACATCCAGCTTGGGCTTCTTCAGATCCAGCTCGACGCCCGCCTGCAGCTGCTTCAGCTGCAACTCGTGTGCCTCGGCCATTTCGTTTATGTAGCTAGCCGCTGCCTCCACTGCCTCGGCGGTGGCCGTAAAGGTTTCATCGTCCGTGGATACTGTCCCGGCGGCAGTCGTGGCCAGCACATCCTCAACCATTTGCTGATAACCAGCGCTGGCTTCGACTGTCGTCGCCGTGGCTATTGAATCGGCACAGTCATCGTTCGTCAGGTTGTCCAGAATTTTGCTGATCTTCTCCTTCACCGCCGGCTCCTCGCTGTCGGACATCTCGTGGTCGTTGCACGCCGATGTGGCCATTTTCAGGCTAAAGTCATCGTCGTCGTCCTCATCCTCCTCGCCATCATCCACCTGACCTAGTCCCTCAGTGCCGCCGCCGCCGCCGTTCTTCATGCTGGCGTAGTGATCCTCGGTGTCCATAGGCACTGCCTCCACATTAAAGCCATGCTTCTCAAGCAGACAACTCTCGTTAGACGTAAGCTGAAAGCCATTGTCCACCACCATCTCCATATGCTGCTGCTGCTGATGTTGCTGGCACGTGTTGGCCTCGAGGAGCATCAGATCGTTGTGTTTGGGTTTTTCCAGCTGCAGCTGCGCCTCCGACTGCTTCTCAAAGATTTGCTCGCTGTAAATGGGCTCCTGTTGCTGTTGCAACTGCAAAGTCGTTATCGAATTCGTCTGCTCTAGATTCTCCAGCGCGATGTTGGTCTTAAGCTCCGTCTCGTAGCCAGGTGACTTCTGCTCCAGCTGCGCATAGCATTTGACTATGGGTTTTTGTATGGACGCGCCCGCA